AATCTCCTCTGCCGGCAGTGTGGAGTTTTGAGCCACAAGCCATGGAGACTGAACATTTTTATTAGTGGCCTCAAGTCAAGTCACGACGAGGAAAAGGCAGAGTTTTAGTGGAGGGTTCCTTTCAGGGACCCTCTCTGGTGAGATTTCTGCAACCGTCCTGGGGGGGAGGGGTGCGGATGTTTAACCCTTCATTCAAATCTGGGAGAGGTCTCAGCTACCTTTCAATAAGTTCTCCCCTTGCTCCACTTTGTTTTACTGCATGAGATAATAAAAGCAAACATATGTTGAGGGTTGCAAGGTGCTATATCGTGTGCTTTGCCGGTTATCTCATTTAATCTTCGTGATGACCCAGGAGGTAGAGGGTCTCCTATTCTCTGTTTCACAGAGAAGCACACGGAAGCTCACATGGTTAAGCAATCGGCCCCAGGTTATACTGCTGGCTGGGCGGCTGAGCAGTGGACCCTGCCAGGACCCGGTTCTCACCTGCCATGCTCTACTTTCCAATCAACTTGAAAGTATTTCCAATCAAAAGCACTTGAATGCAAACTTCCCAAAGGTCAGCATTCTAGTCTCTGTTTGAAGACAAGGGTGCTGAAGCTGAGAGAGGTCAAACAATTTGTCCATGGTTGCACTGCTTATTCTGTGTGGGGGCCGGGATTCGGACCAAGGTGTGTCATTTCAGCCCCCATCAGCTTTCCAGTTAATGCAGTTTGCTGCCATCCACCACTGTGATGGTCGAGGAAGGGAAGTGCGTCTAAGGGAGAGGATGAGCAACCATGCCAGATCCTACAGCCAAATGAAGTGAAATGACTGAGAAGACATCAGCTGGGAGGAGTTGAGGTCCTGACGGCCTTCGAGGGCCCTGAGTTATGGAGACGAGAGGTCAGAAGCCCCAACCTGGCAGAAGCCAGTCTGGAGGCACAAGTCGGGGTGAGGACCGGGGAGCCAAGCTAGCAAAGGGGGGTAACTTGAGGGTCAAGATAGGAAAGGAGTATTTTTGGAGCGAGAAGGAAGGGAATAAGTGGAGAGGGTCAGGGGGAGAGGAGAATTGCTGAAGCTCAGAAAGGGCCCGGGGCGGAGCCAAGAGCACTCCCACTCATTCGAGAAGTATTTCTTGGAACCCATCCCCAGGCCCTGGAGAGACAAGGAAGCACCGGACAGGTAGGATTCATTATCTTTGGAACAGATGGTACAATGAGGAAGACAGATAATAAACTGTAAACAGATCAGTAAAATGAGAATTATGCTAAGAAATAAGGAAACACCATATAGAGATAGAGATTAAGGGGCTGGAGTAACTACAGGTGAGGGTAGTTAGGCAAGGCCTCTCTGAGCAGGTGAGACCAGAAGGGTGAGAAGAACTAACCATGCCAAAGCTGGTGAAGGAAAAAGTCTGGCATATGCAAAGGCCCTGAGGTGGGAAATGGGTGGCTGGAATTTAGTGGGCAGGAGGAAAGTTGGTGGGGTAAGTAGGGCCTTAAAGAAAAAGGAGAACTTTTTTTATCTTAAGCCTCATGGAAGCCACTGAAGGAACAGAATGTCATAGTATGAATGATATTTTAAGCAGCCTAGGAAAGGAGCTTAATCTAGAAAATATCGAGGGGATTGTTCTTCAGACAGGAGGTAAAGGGGATGCTTATATTGCCTTTCATGACCTAACCTCAGAAGTCATGTAGCATCATTTCCACTATATTCTATTTATTAGAAGCAAGTCACCGAGGGAATGGAATTAGACTTTACTTTTAGATGGAAAAAGTGTCTAAGAATTTGCAGACAAGTTTGTATACCACCACAAACTCACTGGGTCTCTGCATTCTGCCTTTATTCACCTGATGGGTAGAGACGAGGGCCTCCGCTTTCCCCTGCTTTAGACCCTTCTTTGGGGATCCATGATGAAAGTTAGGCTCGGAGACATAGTCAAGAAAGAGCAGTTATTCTGGATCTCGAAACAGACCACTTGGACTTGAATCTTGACCCTGTCATTTAGCAGCTCTGTGTTCTTGGGGAAGTCCCTTAATCTTGGGCGAGCCTCATTTCCTTCGTCTGTAAAGTTATGGTATCCTTCTCATGGGATCACTGTAAGGATCGAATGAGCTACTACATGGGTTATACAACAAACTGAAGAGTACTGGCTAGAACACAGTAAACACTCTGTAAGTGTTCGCTATTGCCAATATGATTATTCAACACATTCATTACTATTTAATTAAATCAGCTGTAGGCGAGTTCTGGGCTAGCTGGTAAATGCTTTCAATCATGTGGGCAGAGAGTCCGGGCTTTGGAGTCACCCAGACCCAATTCTCACTCTGAGTTTACCTGTAGTTTCTAGCTGTGGGAGCTTAGACCCGTCTTTCACTTTCTCAACCACAGTTTTCTCAGGCGAAAATGAGAATTATAATAGTACCCGACCTCCCTAGGTTCTGGTGAGGACCCACTGAGGAAATCTGTGTAAAAACCTTAGCTCAGTTTCTGCAACATGGTTATTACTTAATGATTAATGTTAGTCATTAATTTTATTTATCAGGAACTGGTGAATTCATGGGTACCTGACAGTCTGAGGACGAGAATATCATATTAGATGGGGAAGCAATCTGCTGTGGGAGTCCGGCCGAAGAAGAGATTCATTTTGCCAGGAAGACTCTCAGGAAGCCCAGAAGTAATCTGGGAACTGGGCTTTGAAGAGTGAGTAAGAGTTTCTCTGGTAGGAAATGAGGAAAGAGAGGGGATTCCAGGTGGTGGGAAGATTCACAATGGCGTAAAATTGTGGAGGTGCTGACATGTTTGGAGGAGGGTGATTAATGTAGTGTGGGAGCTTAAGGAGTGAGAGAAAGAGATGGTGCTGGAAAGGGGAGTTCAGGGCAACACACTGGCTCAACTAAAAGAAACTGCCATGTTTAAGTCAAGAGGACTGGCAATGTGGAGAAAGGCCAGTGGCTGGGCTGGAGAGGGGTTTTGCAGGTGGAACAGGTAAGCTCAGGGGCAGATTCTCAATGTGAAAGCTGGGGAGGGCAACGAGGGGATCGAAAGCCAGCTGCTGAGTAGTCATGGTAGGAGGGCAGCATTTGAGTGGACGGAACAAAGCTATGGGATGTGGAGTTCCAAAAACCTGGCCCTGCAGCCGCCTGGTACACCTCTGAGTATCTCCATGATCTGAGATCGTCATACTATTTTTGGCCTCCGTTTCCTATCAGTATATAACATGGCCTCTCCTATCTGCTACACATAATTGTTGTGAGAAAGAAAGAGGTAATGAGTGTGTAAGGGCTTTGTAAACAGTAAATAACTAGGCCGATATTAGACCCCATTTTACTAGGGAGGCAGTCAACTGCATGGGACAGCACAGCTAAAGCAGAGCTTTGGGAGGTGGAAGGTGGGGATATTCGTCCTGGTTGAAGATAAAGGTAGACACAGCAATCGACACACACACACACACACACACACACACACACACACACACACACACACACACATTACAGATAGATACAGCAATTTCCACACTGGGCCAAGTCTATTAGGAGGGCAGAGGGAACCTCGATTCTATCACCAGTGAGCCTACCAGTTTGCTCTACACTGCTCTCACCTCTCACCTGGATATAAATAAAGTGGTCCAGAGGTCCAAATCTGGAGACTTTAGCTCGGCTTCAGGTATCTGAGGAACCATGAGAATATACTGCTCATGCTGGATGTTTCTAGGGCTAGAATCCGTAGTCTCCAGCACAGTCCAGAAGGATCTGGGGCCACACCCCTACCGAAGGTTAAGAGTCATTGATTTTCTCACCAGAAATTAATAAGAATAGCTATCCTTGGGGAGAAGAACTGGGGGAGGGAAGGGGTAAGTTTTTCATGTCTAATTCTCAACTTTTCTGAACTCTTCGAATTTCTAATCACAACATGTGTTAGTTTCATTGAAAAAACGTCATCAGGGGTTATCTGGGTGATGACATAATGAGCCCGTTTAAGATTTCATCTTTATACCCCTTGGTACTAAACACAACAAACACAAACACTAATAGCTGTTATTAAAAAAAACCTGATAATATCAGCACACGTGCGCGCGCACACACACACACACACACAAATCATTTCATTATGCAAAGTGCATCCTCTATTATGTAAGGTAGAATGTCTACATTTCCTCTAAACTCCTAGCTTCAATGCAGTATTACTTGCTATCTAAGTTGACCAGGAAAAAAAGGACAGGCAATTTCAGGTATGTCAACTCAGATGCATAAAAATAATGTGTATATGTGTCAACTTTTGTGTATGTTGTCTTCTGCATTCTTGTGAATTGGCCAATGTGCGAGCAGTTGGCATTTGATGTTTCAAGTGACGGAACGGAGAACAGGGTTAAATCCACTGTTCTCTCCCCACGCACTCTAGTAATTACTCTATTTCCACGTCATATTTCCGGGTGTGTGTGTCCCGCCTCACGCAGAAACTTAAGTTCAAAGCAGGCAGGAGTCACCCATGTTCTTTTTGCTGTCCCCAGAAACCCAGTTGAGGTGTTGGGCCCCTTGAGGATCTGGCGATACCTCAGGACTGTCTAACTGACTGATTCCCACGTGGTAAGTAGCTCCCACTCTCGCGGCCACGTGCTGTCAAGAACCGGAAAAAGAGAGAGCAAGCAAAAGAGAGCCGCATCGGGGCATTTAAAGTGTCTTGACGTCACGCACTGCCAGGAACTCAGCTGAGTTTTTAGCAGGGCATTCCAGTCATCCTTCCTCCCTCCCCCTGGGCTTCTGGGCCGAGACCTCGGCAATTCCCCTGCTGCTGCGGAGGGAGGAGCACTAAGACTTCGGAACAGCCCGTACGGGTGTTCTCAGCCTCGGTTGACTCCGCCCTTTCTCCCAGAGGCTGTTCTCATTGGTCAGTTGGTGGAGATTGGGGCGTGCAGTACAAGCTCCGAGGCCTCTGGGTGGAGGAGAACAGTGGCTGTCTCATGAATTATGCAGGACAGAGTGTCGGGGCCAGGCTGGGGCTGGGCGGGGATTGGCTGGAGGGGCTGTAATTCAGAGGTTTCCGGAGCTGCGGCGTAGTCAGGGAGGGAGAGTCTGGGGTTCCGTCGTCGCAGCGCAGGGAGTGAACCCGAACCGGATCCTTGACGAGCAGCGCCGCTCCGCTCTCTGTGCCCCGTCTGCTAGCAGAGACCCCGCGGCCCGAGGGATCCCGCGGCCCGCACCCCGGCGCGAGCACACCCTGTCCTGTCGGGCCTCAGCCCGAGAAACAGGTGAAGGGGGCGAAGGGTGGGGCCGCCCCTCAGTCCCGACGGCTCCCAGGCCTGGGGATCCCGGGGGACGTGGGAGGGCCTGGGAGCTTCTGTGTTGTTCGGGGAAGTTGTGGAAGGAAACTTCAGTGGGGCGGGACGGTACGAGGAGACGCGGAGGGTTGCTCTGAAGGGACAACTCCCGGAGATGACAGGAGCGGGTCTCTGAAAAGACAGAGGGGGCTGGAAGGAAGTTTCATTCTTCGGAGAAAGGGGAGGCGACGAGGAAGAGAGAATGGGCTCGAGGGGGAGGTCCGTGGGGCGAGAGCGCGCTAGGGTGGGGGTGGCAGGAGTGAGGGACAGCCCCCCGACTTCCTGCTCCCTGGGGCTCCAGAGACGTCCGGCCGCAGGAGCGACTGTCAAGCCGCTGGAGGTCACCGGGAGGTGGGGGGGGTGTTGCAGAGAGCCCCCGCCCCCATACCCCGGCCTTGCCCTGTTCTCGATCCTTTAGGAACCAGCCGTGCCCCTCTGGAGGTGAGAATAGGTGTCTTCCCCCTACAGTCCCCCCTAGTTGGTTGTGGGTAGGAGTATTGCCTAAGAGTCAAGTTTCCTGTAGGGAAATTGACAGTCTTACATACTCTTTCTAAATTCCCTGCCGTCTTTTTCTAGGCTGGGGTAAGCCGTGCTTCTCTCCAACCGCCTTCTAAAAAACAAAACAAAATAACACCCCCTCCCCCATCAAGCCAGCTCGAGAGAGAAATAAACCTCTTTTCTCCTTGACATTGTTCTTTTATAAACACCTGGTAAACTCGGCCAGAAGATAAATAATTGAGCCCTTGCGTTTACTGGATTGTGGTGTTGCTTAATTGCATAGGACAGAATGAACCAATCGAGAGTAGGAGTTTTTTTTTTGTCTCCGAGCCAAGATCTTGGGTAAATGCAGAGGAGAGGGAAACAAAGACAGGCTAGGCTGGCCTTGGGGACGCAGTGCATGCAGACTTTACCTGTGTTTGGGCTGTGTGGCCGGGGTTAAGTGAGCAAGACTCAAACTGTCACCTCAGTTGGGTTTTCTGTGTTTCGTTCCCATCCCTCTGTTATATCAGGTGTGTGTATGATGCTGGCACCCATTTTGAAAAAAATAAAAAATGTATATAATGTGCATCTGCGGATTCTATTACAGGGTATATGTATTTTGTGTGTGGCTTGTAACTTTTTGGTTAGCTGTGCTGATAAAGCATTGGTCTGAATAAATCAGAATGGCACATTCTGTTATATGTGCCTGTTAGACTCTTATAACTTGATTCGGCCAACTTTCTATTTTACTATATGTTAACTACGTCTGTGTTCCCTGAGTCAACACATCTATTTCCTTATTACATGTGCCAGACTGGAATGCTAGCAGAATTTATGCTCAGACATTTGCATAGTGGGATAGGGAAAGAAGTCTGCAGTATACAAAAAATCATTGGAGCTGTTGGAGAGTCTGTCTTAGTCACTAGCAAATTTATGAATCTTTTATACGTAGTTCTTTTGGGAAGAGAAAACATGTGGAAATATTCAGTTAGGACTTGACCCACAAGGGGTAGACAGTTTATAAAAACTTAACCCTATTTTGTAGGTAAGGAAATTGAGACTAAGGGAACAAGACATTTGCCCAAGACAGCTGAGGGCCGTAGTGGTGGGACTCACACCTTCTGTAAATTGTGTTCTTTTGCTCAGGGAGTTGGTCTTGATTTAGAGATAGTGCAGACCCTGTTGGGGAAACTGTCAGCGAGATTCTAACGAAGACCTGGACAGTGAAGTACCAGGAACAGGCCATGAGACTCCATGGGAGATCTGTGATATACAAACAGGGGAAAAATACAAAAGGGGTTTGCTTGGGTTGTTTTTCTGACTGCTCCAACTTGGGAAGTAACTAACTTTTCAGTCGTGATTTATCATCAAAATCTAGCTCTTTGCCAATGGAAAGAGATGTTTATGTAGGCAAACTTGTAGATAAAGAACAGTTGTGACCTAAATGTCACTTCCACTAAAGTGCCTGTGGCTGAGTCAGTGGTCATTTGTGTTTTCAGAAAGTCGCTTTCTCCTCCTTGCCCCTGCACGTTCCGATGTGAGATGGGGCCGAGATAGTGACCCTCATTTCAGACATGGAGTTCAGCACCTTTCTACCTTCTAGCGCTCTCAGAAGTGGTTTACAAATCAACAAGTATTTACTGTTTGCAACTTAGTGAAAGTTGATGTGAAGAATAAGATAATATGTTTATAGAACTTGTAGTTTACAAGAGGCAACTTGATAAAATGCTTTACCTGTACAACTCAAAGAGATGGTGCGACATTGTCTGATGTTCAAAAAATTAGCTACTTTATATAAAAAAAATACATAGCACAGATAAAGAGCACTTCCGTTACCGTGGGAAGTTCTGTTGAATAGTGTTGCACTAAAGGCTGCAGGTCTGTAGAGGAAGGGGAGGTTACAAGGCCTGGAGTTGCCTAGGAAGTCTTCTTGCCAAAGGAGAGATTTGATCTGGGTCCCAAGTAGTGGCTGGAATTTGATAGGTATAAAGAATTGGGGGCGGGGAGGTCTGGGGGTATAGCACAAAATCCTGGTAGATGCGGAAGGTAGTGGGGAAGAAGTGCCTACTTATATGATATCTTGAATACAAGACCAAGGAATTTCAGTTCTGTCCTTTTGTAGGGGAAGCTTTTAAAGATGTTTGAGGCCCTTGCCACGCAGCTCGGTTGGCGAGTCAGTTTGTAAACCGCAACTTTGCCGGTTCAGTTCCGGCCAGGGCACATGCCTAGGTTGTGGGTTCAATCCCTGGTTGTGGTACATACAGGAGGCAACTGATTGATATTTCTCTCTCTCCCTTCTTCTCTCTCTAAAATCAATCAATTACAAACTAATCCAGAGCCAAAAAAATAATAATAAATGAAGATGTTTGAGGCCAAGTCCTGGTGTTTTGTTATGGCGTGTCTGGTGTTGGTTAATTTGTGCAAAGTGTATCAGTGCACATGGCCTCTGCCCTAGTGCAGTTGTTGAGATTGACCTGATACACTGGGCCAGCACCCAGAGAGAGGTGTCCTGATTTATGCAATTTGTGTGGATTAAGTGCAGAGATGTTTTCTGAGGGATTTTTAATTGGCTACAAATTGACCATTCACATTTTGTCTTATGCATTTAAAAGATTTTACTATAACTTTTGGCTCATTCATAAAAACCAGCCAAAGAGCACATGAAGGACACCCCCAGACCCTGAAAATCTCTGGTGTCCTGGAGCAGCCTTGGGGAGGTCCAACAGGGTCATATTGGTGGGCTGTTTCAGTCTTTGTTGGTTGTGGTGAAAAAAATTAACGTGGTTACATATTCATTGCTAGGGACTTACTGTGGCACAGTTTAGTCAGGACGGCCAGATGGTTCTTTGCTGGTAAATTGTTTGGAATGTCTCCATTTTTTAAAGGAAATAGCCTAGGGAGGAATGAATTTCTGTTATGGTTAGTTCTCATCATGTCAGGGTAATCACAACTCTTGGTTCTGTTAGGCACACGTTCTACATGGAGAGCCGGTTATTGTGCGAGGCAGGATCCAAGGATAATGAGACATGGTCCCTGTTTGCACAGAACTGCAGGCATTCCTGTGAGAACCAGGGAGTGTGCCAGGTCAGTAGGACTAGGGCAGAGCAGATGACAGAGGAGCCGTTTCAGGCTCAAACTCTGGAGTCAAACAGCTCTGAGATTGGATCTTGGATCTGCTCTTTCCTAGTCAGTGCCCAAACCTCAGTTTTCTTATCTGCAAAAGCAGAAGATAACAGTACCCGTCTCTGAGGGCCATGGAAGATTCAGTGAAATAATACAGGTAAAACCCTGGCGCATGGTAAGAACTCCATAAATCCAAGTTCTTATTAAGTGTCTTATTAAAAGAGATTAATTCTCTTCAGGGGTGAGAAAAGGCTTTGCCATACAGGGGGTTTAGCAGGTGGGAAGCCTGGAATAGGGCTTTGTAGGCTGAGTTAGGAACTCAGAGCTAAGTGGTAAACAGTTGCATTCAAGGCTGCAGGGATGGAGTGGTAAGAGGCTGAAGACAGTGTGGTGCATTCAGGAGCTCCAAGTGCAAGTTCTTAAGTTGGAAGTGGACTGAGGGGAAAGGAAGCTGTGGAGCTGGAGCTCTCTCATCCCTTCTCTTCTGTTAACGATTGGGTTCAAATGTCATTAAAATAAGCTCTTTTGTCCTGTTTACAGAAGTAATATATGTTTGGTAATTCTCAGAGGGGCAAGGGTGTGGAGGCAGGCAGAAGAGGGAAAGGTGGGGATAAATGGTGACGGAAGGAGACTGGACTTTGGGTGGTGAACACAATATATAGATGATGTGTTATACAATTGTACCCTTGAAATGTATATACTTTTTAAACCTGTGTCACCACAGTAAATTCAATACAATATGTGAAAAATAATTAAAGAATACATGTTATTATAAAAAATTTAAATTTGTAGAAATAAAAACTATGTATATATCCTGTGAATAGTTTGCTGTATATTTCTCCAGATTTTTTTGCAGCTTTTTCTACTTATCAATTTATCTTGGACAGATTTATTGCAAATTCCTTTTTCATAGTCTAATGAAAGGATAGTAAGGAAGGCAAATCTCCTCCCCCGACCCTGATAAAATAAGGTTTGGATTTTCTGGTTTACCTTCCTGTTATCTCCATCCATAGTAAGTGATTCTAATCAGTGAACTTTTATCTGACCTTTGACTTTTTAGCTACAGTGGGCGAGGAACTTATATTTTGAGCTTTTCTGAGGTGACTGCTATTGCAATGTCAATGCTTGGCTGGTGTGTTTGAGGGTTTTATGGTCCCCAGTCGCTGTAAGAGGGAAAAGAATGGGCTATGAGGTCAGACTCTTCGGGTTTTCATCCTGATTCACCACCTCTTAGACCTTGGGGTCAGTTGCTTTAACTTCTCCAAGTTTCAGTATCTCCATCCAAAAAATGCAGGTACCAGGTTCTGTTGGAGGGGAGTTGTGAAGAT